ATATCAACAGCCATTTCGGTCGCCTTGCTGCCGAGCGCGTGCTTTCTGCAAAATACACTTCGCACCATCGCATCTGTTTTGCTTGGTAAGAACAAGTAGTAATGGCCTCCAGCCTGGTGTGGTGAAGTCCCGTGCAAGCTCCCTACCGTGTTGTGAACGGCATCGATCAAACAAACTGCCACTGATTTGAAAGCCGCAAGTTGCGAGGCAATGGGGTCTTCACTGGACGCCATATTTGAGGGCGCAGCTTAGAGTACGTGCTCAGGACGAGCTAACATTAATAGGCTGCTAATACCGACAATCTCGATAATGTAAAATGCACGTTGCAAAAAAAAAAAAAAAGTGGAAGCTTATTGTCAGCACGCGCTCAGCAGTCGCGCACACTGGACGCTAGTGAAGATTCCCTAGCTGTAGGCCGATCTCACCAGCCAGATTTGATCCGCTGCTGCTGCCGCCATGCATCGTGGGGACTATATTCTTTCCGCGCAAGCGACAACTCCTTGCGGGTCTGCGGGAGCAAGGCGCGAGACGGCTCAAGCTGTTTCGTGTCCTGTCACCTGCATCCTGTGAACTACGCAAACCTTCCACTACGAAAAACGCCGGGCTCTAAAGAAGACAGAAAGATAGCAAGACTAATTTTGTGCCGAAAAAGCTAGCTTACCTGGCAAAAATCCTCGATTTTTTTGTTTTTTTTTGTTTTTACGTGAATTGTTTTTTGGCGTCTACGGTATTTCGTGAAGTGCAAATAAAAGTGAGGCACTGATAAAAGCGTGGGCGCGAGGCTTGACTCTGATCGGTTGACGGGTGGGAGAGGGGGAGTGAGGCGCTCGACGCTGTTTGGTTAACAGGGAGAGGTCAAGTTACCAGAAGGTTAGGCGAGGAGGAGCTCGACGACCTGTGCGCACTGAGAGAAAGGGGCTCGAGATATTTATGGAAGGCTCGGGAAGATCGTCAGATTTATCAGCCCAGTTATCGGTAGTATCGCTTCATTCTAGGAACATAGAGGGTGCCTTCATTGGCGCTTTGCATAGGGTGATGACATTTGGCCATTTCGTTCCGAACGCTTTTTTTTTTTCTTCTGAAGCGCGTGCTTTTGGCATTGACTGTGCTACGGCGACGTTTTGTTTGCGATGACTTCTTTGTATTTGCCCAATGACCGCGCGATGTCGGCATCGGGTACTACAAAGAATGTCATCACCCTAAACAGAAGGACATTAGTGAGTTTTAGAATAGGGGGCCCCACAGCTGTGGGTGTCCCAAACAGCTTGGGGCGTCCCAGTGCGCATGCGCTGGGACGCCCCAAGCTGCGCACTGGGACAATGGGCATGCGCGCTGCGCATGCCCATTGCAATGCTGTTTGGCTGTTTGGGGCACCCAAAGCTGTGGGGCCCCCTATTCTAAAATTCGCTATTGAGGCACCGGGAGGGCACACATGGTGCGTGTTAAACTGTCTGATGAAGAGCGCCGTGAACGTAGGCATCTGGAAAGTCAATAGAGTACAGCTAAACGTTTGCGATGCTACAACGCTTCACGTATGCAACACAACTGCCTAACAATTTCCTATGTTTTCTTTTTTTTTTTTTTTTTGCATTATAATATTTAGTCGCGCAAAAGTGTAGTTGTGGATTTAAAAAAAAAAATGGAGTAAAAAGGGACGCAAAAAAGAAATAGAACAAAGGGCAAGAAGACAGATCGATTTAAAAACATGCAAGAGACGAAAAACGTATGGGCGCAAAGCAGAAGCTATTAAACCGATTGAGGCGCACTTGCAATGCGAAGCAGGCGCCCGGGGGCTTGTCTTGTTTCGACTCATCCGGTCTGCAGACCACCCCTTTCGACTGCCCCGTTATTCCTGTACGCAAATGCATCGACGACGTCGCTGGACGGGAGTCAAGGACCGGCGACGTCTCACGCGCCCAGCCAACGAAGGCCGGCCTCAATGCTGCCCAATCCCGAACTTTTCACCGTAATGGAGTGACACTGCACGATGGTAACTTGCCACCATCATGCATGTAGCCGCTCCATGGTGATTAAGCTTGTCACAATCACGGATGACGCACAGAGTGACGTGGAACTGGTCTTTGTCCATGCGTTAAAAGTGGTCCCGAAGTGATAACACGTGACGTCTCAGAACCCGCCCCACTCTGTCGGATGTCGCGATCCTGGCGGTTCGAGCTAGAGGTTCCAGCAAAAAGTACGAGCGAACGCGAGTGTCGCTGTCGTCGCGGAGTCCCAACTCCTGATTGCTGAAGCTTCCGTGAGCTGTCAAGCAGGAGAGGTCCCTGGTTCATATTGCTTCCGTTTCAACATTACTTTGTCCAAGTGCTAATCACGAGTGTGCGGTCAATGCGACGATACGACCACAATTAACTGGACCATCACTAGGTCCTCCAAATGCTATTGCTGCTGGGCGTCGGACGAAACCTTAGTATATTTATGGCGAGTACAAAATGTGAACTAGAACTGGCCACGCATTGCTGGGCTACTAGGGGAGCAGGGGCAGATGGCGCATGCGGTATCAGTTACGAGTTCCCATACCCATGTTGGCGCACAGTACTCCATTCGGGATTAAATTCGTAGTCGTGCGTTTTTCGTGTGTATTCCTAGACTGAAGAATCGCTACAACATTTCCCCTTGAGCCTAATGTGTCTGGTAATCGGATACTGGGAATGTTTATTAAATACGTTGAGAGCATATTCGTTCTCCTGCTCCGCCGTGTATACAAAGATAAATATGTACGGCCCATATAAGGGAAAAGATATTGCCGGTCGGCACTTGAGGCATGATCTTGAACCGTTGTTCCAAAAGAAAGCGATACGTTGCTCCTACATCAGTTGTGTATACGTATGCCATGGTCCCTCTCGACACCGCCGACACCAACCTTCCCCACATCCCTCGCCGTATCTCACTCCAGTCGTACCCTTTTCCCGGGAAAAAACAAAGGAGATCCGAGAACGGAGGATACATCGCGAACCCTGCTGCACGGGTCCACCGCCAGGTCCCGAAAAGCGATCCCCCGTCGGCTGGAAGCACCTCATTAATCCCCGCGAGCGGTGCACCCCGAAACCCACCCCGGCCCACCCGGCAACCCCCAACTTATAAATTATCCCGCTGTGTGGGCGTAATGTCCCCGCAGCATCTTTACCTTCGCCCTCCCGTTTCCCTCTCTTCCCGCCAGGGGACAGCGGGGCGGAGACAATGGTCCCCGGAGGGCTCTTGTAGTGTCGCGCGCGTCTGGCTACTGTTTCAACCGACCGAGTTTCAACGTCCCTGTATCGCTCGGTGTATCCCCTAAGCTGACAGTGAGCCAGAAGCTACTCGGTCGTTGAACCAGTCGGACGTTTATCTTCTGCCCCGTGGTGCCACTCCCGCCCGTGCACACGCGCAGGAAGCGTGGTCAGGTGATGAAAGGGAGGTGGTCAACTGGCCCACCAACGCGTAGTACCCCACTGTCAGGTTAGGGGTGGACAGAGTCATAGTCCACTTCTACCTTTTTTTTTTATCCTTTTACGCAGAATTGCGGGCGATTTGTGGAATAGACAACGTAGTACAGCATATGTAAAGAGAAATAAAAAAGAAGGTCGGGGAATATGCAGAAGCTATAGTCGGCGTCATGGTCGGTTTGGTGCGCGCTTGCGTCGGTTGTGCATCGTGAGGCAGGCTGTCGGCTGTACGGTCCGTTTTATTGTCACTGAATACTAGTTGGTTTAGTACAGCTCCCCTCAATGAGCAGGTCTGTTTCTCTTTCGTATATTTTTTGTTTTGTTTTTCCTGGGGGGTTTCGGCAGTGTGTGGTGAAAACAGAGTTGCACGAAATCACTTTGCTCAATGTGCGCACCTGTTTTTTGATTGGATGAGATGCATGGATTTGGCGAGCGATATATGTCATATCAGGGTGTCACAAGCGTCGTTGTTATTTTTCTTGGTTATTGTGTGAAATCCGGGGGAGGTGTTGAAAATGTTTTTGATTTTTATGGTTTGCGCATAGTTTGGAATGACGTTGAGCGTTATACAAACGTGTGCTGCGATGTGCACTTCGCCAACAAGAATTGCTCGATCGAGTCGTTCTGGTATTAGTTCATTTAACGTCTCAGAACACGGAGAAGGCTACCGGCTGCGCAGGCGAGTCTAGCGACAGAACTATGGCACGTGACCTTACGCTGTACTTATCGCTACGCTGTGCGCCCAAGCACAAGATCTCGCGTGTGTTGCGCTTGTTCCCCGACATCTAAAACTACAGAAGACAATGAAAGTACGCAGACTAGCTCGGTCTTGGCATGTTCAAAAACCCATATGATTCGGGAGGAACAAATGAGAAAATAAGAAGTGAAAACGCCACACAAAGCGTACGTGCTGTGATCTCAATTTTTTGTTTCGCCGTGTTCGGTCTCTCCTCCTCGCCAGCCTTCCTAGCGCTTGCCCTTTCTCCCCTCGCCTGGCGTTTCCTTCACCTGTACTGCACGCAACTAGTGACAAGGAGTATAGTCAGAAGGATTGCAGAAGGAAGGGGAGGTGTATGCTCCTTTCCAGCGCTTATCACACGGGCGGAAAAATTCCGGGTCACTGGGCGGTACACGTATGTGCAGCGTCTCATATTTCCCCGCAGAAAGGTACTGCGCATGCTTAGAACTCGTCCCACAGCCGGGCAGATAAACGTGGCAGTGCACAGAATGCGAATAATGGGAATGCTCTATAAACGTCTCCAAGCAGCCACGATTCAAAAGCTAGTCTGGCCATTGTGGACGAGAAAAGCTTTGTTAAGGCGCCAGTCTAGAAACGACGGGCCTGCCTTAATAAGGCATGTGGTTGGAAAGTTAACTTAAAGAAGCGAGGGAAGAATTTTCTTTTTTTTTGGTTTTGAGTCTAGGTGGCGCAAGCTACCGCCCGTTATAAAGGGTACAGATGTTAGCATCCGTTTATCCGGTCAGGCATGACTATATTATCAGACGGTCTACACACGTCAGTAGACAAAAGACCGGGTGAATGGGGACGGTGCGTACCGGAGAAGTAGGCGAAGGCGGAGTTGGGTCCTCCGGGCCCCATCTCCGGGGAGTCGTCGAGGCCGTCCGGGGACATGCCTGGCCGCAGGGACCGCATCACCCTCCGGGGACTGCGGAAAAAGTGCCTCCGGGCACCCAGGGTGCTGAGCTGCTTCATGCGACGCTCCTTGGATCGGCGGTTCTGGAACCACACCTGAAGGGAAAGAACGCCCTCCTGTCGGACACTTCGTTCCTCGCAATGAAGCGGAACAAAAATCAGACCTTCGCGTTCATCAGTACACCGACGTGTTGAACATTTTTAGTAAAATAGCAACAGAATGGGTACCAGGTTCTCGCAATAACGAAAACAACGAAAACATCGCCTTGCTTAGACATTTTGTCAAATGCGATGAATGTACGACAACGCAGCTCCCGTTCGCAGAGGGAGGAGTGTGTTAGGGAATGATTTCCCCCTCCCCCTTTTTCCGTGCAAGGCAGCGCCATTGGTGGCGCCCGCTTTACGTCAAGCCACACGATCACAAAAAAAAAAGCGCTATATTCTTACACCCCTTGTCAAATATATAAGACACCCCAAAACTTGAGTCCGACGCACAGCGCGCTGACGTTGAACCGATGGTACTAACTTTCACGAGCAGCTTGATAGCCGAGTGGTACAATTTATTAAAATAGCTAATGTACGTGTTAGTGACTACAAAAAAAAAAGTAATTGTTTTTTTTTAGCTCTACTGCAAAACCTCAGTGTTTTTTTTTGTGTGTGTTTTTTCAGTAGTCTTTGATACTTAGTTTAGCTGTTTAATGAGGTATATCTCACCGTTCTCAAGCCGCTCGTAAAAAGTTGGGACCGTCTGTTCGACGTTAGTGCGCTGTACGTCGAACTGAAGCTTTCGAGTGCGTTATAAGGGACAAAAGGGTGTAAGACGACACCCTTTTTTGAGAGTGCGATAGCTGCTCTCCGTTTCTGATGCTCCCTCCCATTGCCTTGCTACGGCGCGACCAACATCACCTTGCATGAGGAAGCACCCCCCGTGAGGGTCCCCATATAAAGCGTGTATCCTATCGCATTAACAACAACAACAAAAAGACACGCTGTCAGCATCTTCGTCAAGAAACATCTTCGTACCACTGTTAGAGCTCTCAATGAATATACGGTGGTTCTTCAGCGTGCAACGCCGCAGCTTTGTGGGGAGCGTCCAGGTATTTAGTATGAATGCATTAGAAGAAGTATTACAAGCATCGACAGAAACATGCAAAAAGATTGTCTTTTCCTCCTTTGCTAATCATGTATAGATGATTTTAAGCAGCTGTGCATGAGCGCCATCGTAACCGACGTTAAGTTTCTGTTTCCTCTTATTCCGTTTACTTCCCTTCATCATTACCATAGCAGGCCAGGTTATTGCCACTTTAGATTCTATGGTGTCCTTCTCCCCAGCATTGACCTTTGTGGAGGCTCGTCAACGCACGCTACAGTGGCTTGGTGCTTCGGTGAGACAAGAGAAGGTCAGCAATGGCGGCTGTAGTTTGGCGCTTGTTTAAAGCGTCTATATAACGCGCACCAACCCCGCCCCCCCCCCCCCCCCCCCCCCGCCCCTTCTCGCCCTCCCTCATCGATTGTTGTTTTTACCACACAAATTATGCGCGGTGTTGGGAAAGCACCCGCTCATTTTTCAGGGCAGTGACAATTTGTCTATTTTAGCGCCGGATCGCTTTTCCATATATTAGCAAAATGCAGGCGCTCCTGGGCCCTTTCATTGCATCTCATCTCATTTTATTTATTCGTACCCTCAGGGCCCGAAGGCATTACAGAGGGGGTGGGATTATAACGTACAGGTTAATAGAACAATGAAATCACGAATCAAGTTCTAGTAGTTTGGATACAGCATTTTTAAAATTAACAGCTTTAACAATTGTGGCGATGGATGTGGAAGGGTGAATCCAGTGAGCAGACGTACGAGCTATGATTGATCTGTAGTAGGTATTAGTGTGGCACAGTGGAATTTCGACTTTATGTATGTGATCACTGCGTGATGATATGTAAAATGGCTTCAGTAAGAGTTCAGTCTTCAGGATTGGGTCTTAAGCGTTGGGCTTGCAGTGAGGACAGGTAGCTTGTAGTGATCTGAAGTAATACACATTGCCATCATAAGTTGATTTATGCGTCTACTTCGACACAAATTGCCAACGTTCGAAAAAAACAACAACAAAGAAACAGCTATATATTTCCATCGTTACACATGCAGCGAGGCACCTATATAGGCGCTCTCCAAGTTCGAGCACCGATACGTGTGCCTGTTTCTACAGCAAACAGGAGTGAAGATGTTAGATGCTCCAAAACACTTCAACCGGAAGGCGACCTTCTTCATCGTGAAATAGGTTTCTTCCCAACTGCACCTGATACACAAAGATCTGCCTTTTCCGATGCATTAGATAAGTGATGAATCACCGTATGGATTTTCCATCAATGTGGAATACATTTTTAGATTTTTTTTTTAATTCGATACTTTTCTTTAGAAAGAGCTCACCTCCTGCTAAAGAAAACGACTTCCCCCAACGTGCGCGCGATCGCATACCGCATTTGAATGAAGACTGAAGGATCGTGAAAGGTGAAAGCCACCGTCGCGTCACTCTATTAAGCGTACATCAGTATACTCTTTAAACGGGGGCCTCTGTCCACACAAACCGGAGGTTTTCATAGCTGCGGATAGAGAGACACCCCGGAGATAAGACATTGTCCCAGATCACGGGTGCAGGGGGGAGGCGGCGACTGCAGGTTCAAACGGAGGAGGAGGAAGGAGTCCTCCGCCTGGATTAGCGCAGTTCGCCTGGGAGCCCTCGATAAGGCAGACGGCACAATGGGGGGTGGCCGCTGCGGCTCCTGGCGCCGTGCCTCATTGTAGGGAGATACCGACGGCCGGGGGAGACCGAGGGTTGCGCACGTACGGGAGAACGCATCTGCGTCAGGACTCGGGTCTGCCTCCTCCCTCCTCGTCGGCGAGGATGTTGACTATACTCCGTTCATCAGTAAGCTGGCAGTGTGGTGGGAGCTACGTGCTCGCGTTGGGTCAGCCATTCGTCTATTTTTCGCCACGTGATCACTCTCCCGACCATACTTATACGCGCAGAAGGCCGGGTCAGGGGATGAAAGGGAGGTGTTTGATTGATCGGACGGGCCCGTAGTTCCCACCACACTGCCAGCTTAGCAGCGAGCGGAACACGGGGAACCGCATCTCCCTTCTCCCCCCTGTCGCCGTCGTCATTCAGCGAAGGTGTCGCCCGTGGTCCCTGGTGGAACTCGCCAAGTGCTGCGTGCCACCGTGAATGAGAGCTCGGGGTTCGGACTCCGGGCGCGCGATCCTTTCGTCCGGCTTTGTTTGGGCGCCCGTTCTTCGCACCGCGGGCGCGTGCTTGGAAGCATCTGGCTGGGTGGGTCGGCTGAAGGGGTTCTGGTATAGGTCGAGTGAGGTGTCAACATTTGCAACCGATGGGATATGTTCCTGTGTGTTCGTCTGTGCGTGTGAGTGTGTGTGTGTGTGTGTGTGTGTGCATGCGTTTGTGTGTTATTTATTTTAACGCGTTTCAGTAAAAAGATAGGGTGTGATGACGTATTGTACATGGCTTGTATTGAATTGCCATCAGCTGCCATTGTAATGATCTTGCTGCTGAGCATGTACTTTCTGCAGCAAACGTTTTGCACCACTGAATTTGATCCTTCTCGGCAAGATCAGATAGGAATGCCCACAAGCATGGTGAGATGACGTCATATGCAAGCCATCTAAAGGCTGTGGGCGTGGAAGGTGCTTTCACCGCGCGGGCTTTCGTGCAAATGTGAAAATTACTTTTTTCTCGAAAAGAGGATGAGAGAAACTTCGCACTTTCTTGACGGCTGACGGGGTCAGGAGCTCCGCCTCTCTGTTTCACCTGGCGTTGAGCGCGCAAATTGTAATCACCGTTATTCGGAAACATTGCGATTGTACGCAGGTATAGCTTTCGTCGTTCAACAATGGTCAACTACAGTTATCTCGCAAGCCTAAATAAAAAATGACACACGAATTTTTTTCTATAGAAGCACAGATAATAAATAGCCTCACAAATAAGGTGAGTCACGAGCCAAGCGACCACTAATTCTCACTTCGCCAACTATATCTAAGTTGATGTTCCTCTTCGGGGCACGCCAAGATAACGGTCATCTTGGCCTTTTTAAGACACGGGTCTGCGGTTAGTCTCCTCTTTTCGTGTAGAGTTTCGAACTTATACGGAAACACCATTTCCTCAGTGGGAAGGAAATGGCATAAATACACCCCCGAAAACACACACACACGGAGGATGTAAACAACGACAACAACAACAAGGACCGAAAGTCCAGGGACGTCGGGTGCCTTAGTCCTAAACCCGTGATTCCACCAACACGAGGCAGTGTGTGTCCCCAGACAGACTTGAGGCGGCGAGCCGAGTCGTGACCGTTCTTCTTTTCCTCGGTAGCGGCTTCACCCTGGGCGCATTGTGGAGTGAGCCGTCCGGCGTGACAATGGACCTCGCCCACACACACCCCTGTTCCGCCGTCAGGTGTAATCACCGTCCACGTGCAAAAGGCCGGTACACAGGGCGTGCGCGACAGCGCGCGCTGCTTTGTGATCTTCATTTTTGACCTCTCCCCATGCAACGGTAATTCGGGCCGGGACATCCTATTCGCATCTTCTCATTGTTTTGTTCTTTTTACTTTCCGCCACCAAACTTCCGGCTTTCTCGGAAAACATGTAAGCTTCTTTCTTCTCTGCGGACCTTCTCCGGCTGACCGTTGGTTTGTTTCTGAAGTCATTGCGTCCGCAGAATGTATCTGGTGGTCGGGACGGCTCGGCACCCAACGGTAACATTCGCGGGAGTCCATTCGGCCTTCCGGTCGGTGTGGTCCCAAGTACTCGTCTAATGGGGCAGCTCTACGCGTAGGAGTGTGTGGCGGTGTTCTTGTTGCTGCTTATTCTTGGAACCGGAAATTGACCATGCTTCTTGTGTTGCGACTTGCCGTAGTTTCCCTTGCTCTTGCGACAATAAGTTTTATCTTTGAATGCCGAGAAGTACGTGCGGGCCCCTTAGTTAATTCTTTTTAGCGACCCGGTTCTTCGGGTATTTCCCATCGTACTACTAGAACGATAGAGATTTTTTTTTTGTTGACATAGGCGCCCAAGAAAGTCATCACCA